GAGCACCGCCCCTGGGCAGTTGCCAGCCCAGGCACGTGGCCACGGCTGTTATCAAACGTTCCCAGGCCTGGCAGTGAGGTGATAAGAGCAGAGCAGGATGGCAGCAGCCAGAGCAAAATGTGGCCACGAAAGAGCAGTGGCCTCTAACACAGTCAGGCGAGTGAGCCCATGGCAGGCATGAGAGCTGCTAGTCAATACTGCACAGCAGGAACAGCTGTCCAGTCAATCTAGCACATCCTTGTCAAATCTGTCCTTATCTGGAGCCCCACACTGGGTGCCAAGAAGGGCTGTCATGGTTTAACCCCAGCCAGCTTCTGCACCCCATGCAGCCACTTGCTCAACCCCCTGGAAAAGAGGGAACTCATGGGTTGAGATAAAGGCAATTTAATAGGTAAAGCAAAAGCCACTGAGATTTTTTTTTAAAACCATCAAAACAAGGATTTCTCAGACTAAATAGGGGTTTGACTGTGTGGTGTGTAAGGCAGAAAAAGATTGGGTTTACCATGATTTGCCACGCCGGGAATGACAAACTGTATTTGGGGGTCTTGGATGTTTGTGGTGACTGTCAGTCTTGCCTTGTACCTGGTGTGCTTCAGTGTGAACTTGGTGCACCAATGTAACCTTTTTGGGCAGAGCCTTCACTGACGTGACCTTAACTTGGAGGTGCAAGTCAAACAGGATTGTTCCTGGAGCTGCAGTGTGTCAGTGTGGTACTTGCTTGGCTGCAGGAGCTCAGTGTGGGGCAGGGGTTGTTCTGTAGTTACAGAAAAATATGACATGCCTGATGCACCCCTTCATCTGCCCTGAGTTATTTGATGTGGATTTTCTTGCAGCTTTGACAGTGACTGTCAGACTTTCATAGCTCCTGGAGCAATCAGCTTAGTCCGATGGAATCAGCACAGCACAGGAATTGGGTTTTATTATAAGAGCTGAATAGGTTCTTTCCACTTCTAACTCCAGAAGTTCTGAGTTGAGGTATTGGCTCTGCAGTGGATGGTGCACTTTCAGGGTGTGTCAGACTCTCTCCAATCAGTTATCCAAAAAGAGTTATTTCACAGATATTTTGCCTTTTTTTCCTGTCCTTTTCATAAGGACTGGATTGCATCTCTGAATTTCATTCTGCAGCCATGGGATAAAATATTTTTATGCAAACTGGGATTTGATATCAAGAGCTCAGGATTCGAAAGGTACAAGATGTTAAGATTTGGCAGCAGAGGAGCAGAGTATTGGAGGGCTCTGCTCCTGAGCATCCACAGGAGCTACTGGTGTGGGGAGCGCTGTAAAATGAGCAAAGGACAGAACTATGTGAGAATTGTGCCACTGTAAAATCTAATTCTCATCTGCTTTTGGAAAGTGAAATACCGTCAGACATGGGTTTATCCTGAGCGCAGACTGGGTGCTGCTCTGTCAGCCTGCAGCTCCTCCGGGTGGGCAGGCTGTGTGCTCCCAGCCCCTGCCTGCTGGGTTGGGATGCGTGCAGGGAGCAGGGCTGGAATCCAGACTGGGCACATCAGTCTTAGCACAGCTGCTCCAGGGATGGGGCAGCAAGAACATGGATGTGAATAAAAGTGGTGCATAAGCTCCTTAGGGCTTTCAGCACCGTTGGTGTCATGTTGGGTGTGGAATGTGGTGGCAGAGTGATGGTTTCCCTGTCTCATTCCAGTCACACTGTGGGGAGGGACAGTTCCACACACACATGGTGAGGACTGCACCCATCCAGCAGGCAGAGGAGAGCTTGGAGCATGAGGTGCAGTACAGGGAAGGTGTTCGGGAGGCTAAGGGCAAGGCTGCCTGTTTGTTTGGTTTTGTTTTTTTCGTGGCACTGCTCAAATGCCTTGACTTTGAGGGATGTAGTGGACTTTATTAAAAAAATCACACTACAAAGTAGTTGAAACAGAGATAGAAGAAAAAAGTCCCAATCTGAAGTTTAACTGGACAGGCATTGACAAAAGGTAATTGTGCTGTAGAGATGGAGAAGCAGATCCCATTGTCAGGGGTGGTGTTTTCTTTAATTTTGCTACTCTTGTCATTCCCTCTTCAGAGCTGCCTCACCTGAGCTGTGCAGTGGTGTCCATGAAGGGCTTTGAGGGGACATGGAGTTTTGGGGATTTTGTGGCTCTTGAACTCAGACACTTCTAGTAGTGTCAGATGAATCTGAACTGTGTTAATTCAAGATGAAAGGAATATTCGCTTGGCATGAGTTGCAAATACTTTTTATTCTGAGGAGGTTTACTACAGGAAAAGGCTGAGAAGGCAGTAAGAGACAGGACCAATTTTCTTGTGAAATGAGCGTTCAGCACTTCGTTTGGGTTACAGGCTTGGTTCAGCACAGAAACAGAGGCTGTTTGTCCCTCAATGTGCAAAGCTGATGTCCTCTGCTTGTAAGTGCTGGGTGCTAGTACTGACAGTCCTGTGGGACATGAACTCCTGAGCAGTGTCATCTTTGGTAGCTGAGCCCTGTTCACGCCTGTGCCCGGTGCTGCTGAGCACATTGCCGTGCGCGTCGGAGAGGGCCTGGGGTGGTTCTTTCTGAACACTTGGTCTTGGTGAGTGTTGTGTAATTCCAGTGAGGTGAATTTCCCAGGGACCGCAGCCCTTGAATTTTCCCTTGAATTTTCCCTTGAATTATCCCTTCTGAGCAATGGCTGCACAGTGCTGATATCCCTGTCTGTGGCTGGGAGTGTTATCAGAAGCTCTCACCAGCCTGGCTCTGCCCAGAAACTGCCAACGTGTGTCAGACTGGAGCTGGGGGGAAATGGGACCCCCGAGACCTGCTCTGGCAGGGCACATGAAGGGTGGTGGGGCCATGGGGGTTCTGTGGCTGCTGGGGGG